GAAAGAGGTATTTTGATATCTTTGTTCATTATTGTGTTTATCATTCCTGATGGACACAGAACAATGACTTCCCTCATACTCGCAGAGTGGGTACAAAAGCACAGCTAGTTTGAGGGCACTTCAAAGAGGTCTGCCCCGCACATTCTCATACAGCACTGTATATATTACTTTGATGTGAGAGACTAAAAACCATGCTTAACACAGCTGACTTCAGCTGCAAGCCCACATTACATGGATTTATTTATTTTTTTATTGCTGCATAAATTACCATGTCACAGGGTTGGAGTGCTCAATTGTCATCACAAAGTTTTATAAGCACAGTTTTGAAAAATGTGGGATGATCATTCTATGAAATACTACATATGGCATTAACAGTCATGCAAATGAATGGTGGTCTGGTTGCTTTCATAATTAAATATTTCAATGATTCAAAAATGGTTTTTAAAATTACCTGAACAAAAATCTGCATTCATTCATAAACACACAGCCTCAGGTTAAATTGGTGGATATGTCAAATGTATAATAAGCAATGACTGGCATAAGCAGATATTATATAACAAAGAAATGGAAAAATACATACTTACATATAATAGGATTAAAGAGCATATACTTAAGTACATATACAGAAAAACTTCTATGGAGTTCTACCCCAAATTTCTACATGTTTTCATGAGAATAGAATCGTTACAACTAGAAAATTATTGTCAAATAGTACTAGAATACAACATGGAAAATGAACTGTTCTTTAGATGCCATTAGCCTGAGCACTCGTCTCTGAATTCTGATAAGGTATGAAGTGCCCTGGATTCTAGAAAGAATTAAATGTCTACAGAACAAAAGCCTTAATTTTCTATGAGGCATTTTAGTGCATGATACTATACATTCAGATATGAAATGCATTTATTTCATGTATTTTCAGCCAAACTCTTTAGCTTCTATGTAAGTTTTTCTAACAGTAGCAGGTTCAGAAACATACAGGAATAGCCAGGGCAATTCAGTTGTCTTCCCAGTAAAAAATGGAATTTATCTGTAGCTCTAATGAATTACTGAGTCCACTAAACAATAAAAATGTATTAGTTCATATAAATTTACAAAACAAGGGGATGACCAAGCCTCAATTAACCAGCTCCAAAACTGTACTCAGAACTCTTTGTTCTGTAATACTTTCATTCATTCAACAAATATTTATTGAATTCTTATGTGCTGGGTACTGCTCTAGGTGCACTGTGTACATATTCAAGGACATCATGAACAACATGTACAAGAGGCAAAAGAGATATATCAGTGAGCAAAAGGGATAACATCCCCCTTTTAGGGAGCTGATATTCTAGTGAGACAGACAGACAATAATATGATAAGCAACTATATGATATTGCAGGTTAAAAGGTGTTAAGTGTTGTGGGAAAAATGGAAGAGAAAAGCAGTCTAGAAAGAACTGGAACTGTGGGGTTTGGGTAGTCAGCTGGACCTCACTGAATCGGTCAGCTCTGAGCAAAGCTGGAAGGAGTGTAGAATATTAGCTGAGTGACTCTCTAGGGGACAGCATTCTAGGCAGAGTGTTGAGCACCTGGTACAGAGGCCCGAAAGCGGGAATAGACCTGGCATGTCTGAGGTTTTTTAAGGTAAGAAGACTATACAGAATTATTGAAGGTAAAAATCTCCCTCTTTTAGTTCTAGAAACACCATCATATCCTACTTTTGTAAATTACAAACATAGGTCTATAGTACATGGAGAAATGTCTAGGAGGAAGCTCACTAACATCTTATTGGAGGCTATTTCTGGGTAGTAGATCTTGGGTGATTTTTACCAACTTCTTTTCGTTTCTCTATACTGTTTTAGTGTTTTAAACTAATGACACATTAGAATTACAGAAACAATAAGACTATGGAAAACCATCCCTGAAGTGGTATAAACTTCTGTTTATATATTTATAAATGATTAAAACAGTATATTGCATTTGTAGGAAAAATACAGTACAAACATCATTATGCTTGGCTTTGTAATTTCTTCTCATGGATTTTTAATAGTATTTATACCCCATGCATATGTGAAAAAAGCTCTATACATATTTTTTCCTTTTTTAGGTAAAAATGAGAAACTTTAACAGGGACTTTGGAATCAGGTAGACCTGGTTTAATCCCCAACTCCAACTAAACTGCACAATGTTGGACAAGTTACTGAAACACTCAATTTCCCACTTGCAACAGACATTCACATACTCAGTAAATCTGTATTAAATGCTGACTCTATCATGTGGCTGCTGGGGATACAAATGAGAATGACTTGCGAGAAAGGACATGGATGAAGAAGTGCAGCACATGCTGGGACAGATGCGGGGGCCACAAACGCCTGGAGAAAGGGGGGTTTGACACTTTCTTATGAATTTAAGGAAGGCTTCATTGAAGAACTATCATTTGACTTAGTCCTGAGGATTAAGCAGGAGTTTGCCAGGAGTCACGTGTAGAGTTAGGGTTGGGGCAGTGGAGGCAACACAGTTGAATGTAAGGAGTCTTAAAGAACTAGGGTGAGGTGTCAAAAACCAGAAGTACCACCCCTCTGCACAGGGTGCTGTGAGGCTCATTGAGGCAACCCACACGGACAGGGGACAGTGCTCTGACAGTGTGGGGATTATGTACCCACACAAATTCAAGAGGCCATTTGTTCCCAAGCCCCTCGGGTCATGCCCTCCCTCACCACTCTGAGATAGCTCTACAGTACTGTGAGTCTCTCTTCATTACTCTACTGCTTCAACTGAAATTACTTCTAAGGCATATCCCCTACTTTGCAACTTCTAAGGAATCTTTGCTCGTATTTCCTGTCATCCAATGCTGCTTTAACAATTCCTACCCTCCCTTTAAGGCTCAACTTAAATGCTTAAATGTCAAGTTCTTCCAGATCATGTTCTGAATTCCCTTAACCACAATAAATGTTCTACCTCACCCTTTGATTTTGTATCTCTTTTTTAAAAAATAAAGGTATCATACAATCTTATGAAGGTTTCACATGAGCAATATTGTGGTTTCAACATTCACCCATATTATTAAAGTCCCCCCTAACCCTATCGCAATCTCTGTCCATCAGTGTAGTAAAATGCTAGTCATTACTTGTCTTTGTGCCATACTGCCTTCCCTGTGACCTACCTATATTGGGTGTGCTAATCACAATGCCTCTCAATCCCTTCCTCCTCCCTCCCACCCTCTCCAACCCCGTATCTCTTTTTTTTAGGGCACTAAACAAATTCAAGCTTATATTACAGCTATTTGTGAATTTATCTCCCAACAAAATTATGCCCTTCTTTTAGAGTGGGGAGGGACTATGCCCATTCATCTTTATATCCCCACAGCATTAGGTCAATGCAATGAATATTGTCATTGTTTCATAAATGTTAGTTGCAAGAATAAAAAGCTAACAATATTTTAGTGATTTTTGTTTTGCTAAATAGGTGATTAACACTTACACAATGACAAGTTTAATCTTTCTCTTTTTAAAATATCACCTTTTCAAGAGGAATTTTCATAAAGAAAGGATTTTGTCTTGTTCTCATGAGATTGAGCCTTAAAAAAAAAAACAGGGAAAAAAAACCTATCCCCACTTATGAACAGCAAGACTTCAGTGCTGGCTCATCACCTTCAACTTTAGTTCCCACACAGATACTATCCTGTTAGAAAAATAAACATGATATACATCTTTAGAATCTTTCCAGTCTGATAAATTTGGTTAGCATCTTCTAACTTTAATCCATATATCCAGATAAGCTTTTTATCTGTTTAGAATTACCCCAAAAGATGACTATAGAAAGAGAACATAGTGGAATTTTAAGTAGAGTCTTTCTTATTTTCTTCTAATCTTTGATAGTTTCTAGGAAATGATTAAGTTTGAGAATTTTTATTTTGTTTCCATGAGGGAACTACTGAAGATGACATTTTATATTTATATAATATTCTGAATATGTAATTCTAAATGCTTTACTATTAAGAATTTACTTCTAATATTTTCCAGAGGCAGGGCTAAAAAAAAAAGGGTTCTTTTGAAATGTACATTTGTTATTTTATGTGAAGGATGACTTTAGGTGGAATTATGAGGGACTTCAAAATGGAATATTAATCTTAAAGAGGACCACCTTGACATAATCTGCACATGGAAGTTTTGGACTATTTCTGTTTTTCTTGTGTCTTTTTTCTTTTAGGTTAATGATGTATATATGCATATTATATGCTTTGAACTGCTTTCTAGTAATGCTAATATATTCTTCCTATCCCATCCACATTTGTAAATGACTGGATAGGATTAGGCCATCAAACAAAGTAAGTGAACTGGTCCATAAAGAAACCTACCCAACAGTCCAGATATCAGCATGGTCATGCTCCAGTCAAAATATTCTGATTTTTCTGATAAAATTTGGAAATTAAATAAGCTTACTTATGATATTGTACTTTTTGTGCTATGCATTTTAGATTCTCTATGCTAAAATCAACTGTTTTTTTTTTGTTGGAATGTATTTCATGGAGACGCCAAAGAATTTTATTCCTTTTAAAAGCAAAATTCCATGAAAACAAGCCATTTAGGTATATTTCTTATCTTCTTTAACATATCTCATATTCAATCCATTCACGTCCTCTCCAACTCCTCTTCTGTTGCCTACAGGCACCCGTCATATCATGCTGAGCCATTGCAATATGCCTTTAATTTGCTTCCCCTGCCTCAGATCTCTCTGTCCTCCTAATTTGCCTTCCACTCAGCTGCTAGAACAATCTTTCTAAAGTGTAAAGCCATCAATGTTATTTTGTGGCTGAAACTCTTCCCTGGCTTCTCATTGTCTCTGGCATGGTCAGCTACATTGTGTGGTGGCTTTCTTTACATGCTATGCCACCTGCCTGTCCTCCAGTCCTATATTCCTTACAGTGTAACTGTGTATAGTTTACGGCAGGTTGCTTCATCCCTCCATGCCAGTGCCCATGCATAAAGCAAGAAATTGCAGCAAATCTCAACATTTAGCTACCTTTGTTGATTTGTTGGTTGGGGTAAGGTGTGGAGCATCTGGGAAATATTTAATCACAACTCAGGAGGTCCAGTCTTTGGCTTCTCTGGATACAGGCCATCATGGCAATTTCTCTTGGTCCCCAGTTTATCTGAAAATTTAATAGGATCACTTTCATTGATTAGAATATGACTTTTAGGAGGTACCCACCACAAAATAAAGATCCTATGTATACTCTCTATCTAAAACTGACACTGATTTTAGTATTTAGCACTAGTAATTCTGAATTGCTCTACAGTAACAATCACACTATCATAAAAATATTCAAGTTTTTCACTCATTTAACAAGGCTGCACAATGCAAGTAGGTCTCTATCAATATTTAAAGAAAAAGATTTCAGCCAAATTTTCCAGTGGAATATGTTAGCCAACAAAGAGGCATACTCTATAGGGGAAAGAAATTGTCAAATTATGAATGAAGTTTCTTAAATATGTATAGAGAGTGTCTTCAATTTCTGTTGCATATGCCAAAAATGAGGGCCAGTCTTGGAAAGAAATACGATTTTTCTAAGTATATATTTATGTTTAATATTACCATCTAATCCTTATGAACTTCAAGCTTATAAATCTCTTAAAATAGGAAATTTCAAATGTGCTTTATGCAAAATACAACTTTCTAGGAAAGCGTCCAGTTTTTGACTAGTTTGTGATGTTTTATATCTAGGATAGGCTACCAGCTAACTTTCAGAATGAAGATATCTGGAACTACAAGGAGAATACATGACAGCATTAGATGCAATGTGGCTTTGCCTCCTTTCCCTTCTACCACGTTTAGCAAAAATAAAGCCAACAGACATACTTCAAAAGTGACTAACTGTAAAGTCCTTTCAAGTTCCAGGCAGCCAAGGTTTGATTTAATATGATTCTCAATGACTTGACTTTTCTAAAATGCTGCTTTATAAAGCAAATGATTTCACTCATAGAGTATAAGAACAAAGAAAAAAATAAATAAAAGCACTTTAATTTCTTCATTCTAGAAATATTATTTTTCCATTTAAAAAAGCCTAACCTCTAAATGATAAACATTAAAATTAAATGCTATTTCTTAGGGACTTTTCTTCCACAGCAAAGATTTCAACTGTCACTTAAGCACATAGAGCACCTCAACTGTGACCAGGCAGGGAATTCCTGCAAGTAAGGGGCTCTATCTTAAGCGGCTTGACCTTCCAAGTCCTTGCTGCTCAGCACCTCTGGCACCCAGCAGGTGCTCAGTGAGGATCTGTTCAGTAAGAATGAATGAAAATGCCCACAGTGGCAAGCAGAGGTAGTGGAATGAATGAGGCTGTTGATATATACAGTATCCTAAAGTCACTCGGAAAGAACAGAACAGACCAAAATCCAGCTGCTTTCAACATTTATGCTACAGTTGCTTGGCCTTTACTTTCTGACTGTTAAAGCTCTTTAAAGTAATTAACTTATTAAGTCTCACTGCATCCTGAAGGGTAATTAACATAATTATCACTTAACCTATCAGTGGAAAAATAGGACTATAGCTAGAGAAACAGATTACAAGAGAGTTGGAGAGGGAAACACACACACATACATTTTTTAGGAAAAAAATAAAATTTCACACTCAATTCAGACTTCCACTTTAACATTCTATGTACCAATATAGTTAGAAAACTCCCACTCTGGAACCAGACTGCCTAGGTTTGACCCCTCGGTTCTGCTAGGTACTAGCTGTGTGATCTCCCATACACTATGTGTCTGTTTCCCTCATCTGATTAATGCAGAAGCTGACAGTATGTACTTCACTGGGTTGATATAAGGATTAAATTAAATAATATACCTGTAAAATGCTTGGAAAAGTATGTGACTCATTGTAAATTCTAGTTAAGCGTTTGCCATTATTATTATTCTTTCCACCAGACCAGTGAAAATTAAATTTCTTTGTGGGTCTAGGGTGGGTTAGGCATACTTTGTAATGGAATTCTTTTTTGAAAATCAAAAATTATGCAAAGTCCCAATAAATAAGAAGATAAAAGCAGTTTTGACTTGAAAAAATTACCTCAGACATTTAAATGTATGATGTAGTTTTAAGATAATCAGTGTTAACAATGAGGATGTTTTTACACAAAAATTTATAATTTGGGAGATGATAGTTACAGGCTTCATTTATCATTAACCTCTATCTTACTAATTTCTGTCTTTCATTTTTTTTTGCACAGTATTAAGAAAATGTTGAGGTATACAGATAAGTAATTACAAAAGTTTCCCCCCTCAAAGACTTGAATGAAATTAATCCAAAGGCTTGCCACAAAAATAGCAAAAACTCTTTGCCTCAAAGTAAAATCATTAGAAATATTTAAGAAGTGCTTACATTCCTTATGATAAATGTGTGTCAGGATAAGAATGATATGTGTTAATACCATAATGTCATTGATGCAGTCACTGTTACTGCATAAGCAACCGGCGAGCAGTGCATCACTGACACTGCCTGGCATTTAACTGACTTCTGTGTATATGCGCTTGCCATAGTGACTCCTGCTTTTACAATTTTACATGTATAGACATGCACAAGACTGAATTTGGGTATGCAGATCCACTCCCTTCCTAACCAATGCCATGGTACCAGAAATTTTAAAATAATGTGTGGTGATGGCAGAAGACTTCACAGGTATAAACAAAACAGTTAACAGAGCAACGGAATTATTTAAGTTGGTAGTCTTCCAGTGTGATGGCCTTGGTATATATTTTGGTAGATATTTTAGTGTGATTTATTTTATTACAATTTTTAGACAGAATATTGAAAAAATAAAATTTGAACTGCATGTTTGTAGACTCCTGAAACAATTTAAAAATCACTGGCCTGTGAATCTGATTCCACCTAGTGTCAGAAAGCTGAAAAGTGTCACACTCTCCCTGAAAAGAAGAAAAAGCTGAAAAAATATAGAAACATAACTTTACCTGAGCCAGAGAGCTGAGGTCACAGGGTTAAACTGCCTGAAATCCAAGAAGGGACAGGTTCCTTCTCCAAGAAAATCTGGAACCTATAGCCTGGCACTCCTGTGGGAGACCGTAAAGCAAGAGGCACTACACACTACAAGCAGTTTAGAAGAATTCAACTAAATATTTAAGGAATTGCTAAACGACAAGTACGGGCTAGAGTGAGTACACAGGATTCCTGGGAGCTGCAATCACTAGAGTGTTCAAACCCACTCCCAGACTTTTCTCTTGAGACCTGTACCAGCTCTGCTCATGAGAGAGATGGGGGCAGGGTGGGAAACCAAAGAAAACCTCTGAACAGGAAAGAGCAAAACAGAAGAAATATTTAAAGGGGCAATAGTCAAAATTGTTCTAAAAAATAATTAAAGACATTGAACCACAGGTCCAAGAAACCCAGAGAACCCTGAGTAGGATAAATAACAACTATAAAATTATATCATATAGAAACTACTGAAAACTAAAAATAGAGAGGAAATCTTGAACACAGCAAGAAAAAGAAAAGACACATTGTATACAAAGAGGAACAAAGATAAGAATTACAGCAAATTTGTCACAAATGATGTAAGCCCAAAGACAAAGAAGTGACATCTTTAAAATGCTGAAAGAAAACCACAGGACTAAAACTGGACTGTTAGTTCTTAGAGTAAAGCCTAGATCCAGCAAGGTAGGATCTGGCTGGAAACTGGAGATCTGGCTGCAGCTCCCTTGTGGAGTTTCGAACTGTTACCAAGTTGATGGTGTCCATATATTTGTTGTGGACATATTTAATTCACCTAAAACAACCAATAAAATGATCACATAACATTACCACCCAATTCTATCCTGTATGTATGACTTCTATATGATTGTGTACTTATAAACAGAATAGGCATTATGTAGGTCACAGTATTTTTCTACTTTCTTCAAACAGACTCATGATAGCACACACTTACATAGCCTCAGTATGCTCTACTTTTTAAGTGGTTTCTATCTATTAAAAGAGACACTATTTTACTATTTGCTTGCTTGCCCAAAGAAAATATGCAATAATGTATGTTACTGACTTTTAAAAACTTTCTTTCTACAACTCATTGCATATTTGACTTCCACATCTAAGTAAGAATGTTACTTTTGGAATGGCCATAAAATAAGTATACTCAGAATTGCTGAAAGGTCTCTTTCCCTAGACTCTTCGGTCTAAAACAGAAATCTCTCTTCCTCCATGTCTCCTGGTACTGTGGTCACTTTCTATCTGCTTACCCTTGCTTATTATTTTTTTCATAGCACTTATTATTACATGAAGTATTATATTTTTTATTCATTTCCCTGTCTTTTGTCAGTTTCCTGGACTAGAGTGTACAGCAGTAGAGATTTTATCTCTCTTGGTCCCTCACTGCTGTTATCTCCAGCACTTAGAATAGTTCCTGGAACTAGGGTTCATTATGTATTTGCTGAATTGATGCACAAATGAATGGGTGAAGTAATACACGAACAAATAAGAGGAATCCCTCTCACCTACAGAATCTGGTAAATTTGGGATAAGGAAGAAGTTGAACACCTGCTTTTTGAAAGGTACATCACTGGCTTAATCTGAGATCATCTAATGTTCACCACAGTCCCTGAAACATTAGCAGCCACTCAATAGTATTGATTGTCATTACAGACTGCTCTTCCTATCTCATGAACTTGTCAATCTGCGAAGATGCTACCATTTGTCAGTACTCCAAATTCGAAAAGATCAAATAACAGACCTACACTTACAGAGTTAGGCTGTGAAACTGAATGCACCCAGGTGTGGCAGACACTAGAGCCCATGCCCCGAGAAGGGAAAGAAAACACTAAAATCCTCGCTGTTTGTCTCCTTGAAGCACTTGACGCACTCATTATTAGGTTCATCTTGCCTCCTAAGGGCTAAAATGTGATCTTTAGTTAAATAAAATTGAGTGAATTCTAATTATATATCATAAGACAATAGACTCTTTCCTCCACATTGGTTTTTATTTTTGCTTTCTAACTTGTTTGACCTAACAGTAATAGCCTTAAAGTCAACAAAGTGAAAAATGGGCTTTATTAAAGTTACAAAGAAATATCCAGTTTTATGAAGCCCTCTAAAAACTGCAGATCCACACCATAATAAATCAACTTGTGCTTGAAAGCACAAACTGTA